AAAAAAACATAGGCCTTCTTAACCACATAAATTCCATCCCTATCATATTTCCACTTCCATCTATCTTCCCTACCTTCCCATAAATGCACAGTACCTAGTAAATTCAACAACACCTCTTCACTAAGCTCCCTACCTAATCTCGACCTCTTCCACTCTAACTTCCATCTCCACCTACCTCCCTCCCACCCCCCCTATCTCTTGAATTTTACCATCCTTGTTCACTGCCAGCTCAAAAAGTCTAGGACACACATCCCTTAACAGTTTAGAACAAACCCAATTCTCCCTCCAAAAAGTCACCCGTTTACCATCACCTAGCTCCCACCTAAAGCCCTCCACCAACATCTCCCTAAGCCTATCTGATCTCCATCCAATGCTTAAAATATCCATCCAAACACTAGATAAACAAATACATTCCACTGCAGTAATATCTACCTCTGGCTTCCCCCCATAATTTCTCTCACAAATCCTGCTTCCATAACCCCCAAGACCCGTCACCTAATCTATACCACCACTTCCCAAGCAAAGCTAAATTCCTTCTACCCAAATCATGCACCCCAAGACCCCCCTCTCTCTTACTATAACATGCAAAATCCCATTTAACCCAATGAATTTTCTATCTAAGCTCAGCCCCCCCCAACATAAAAAATCCCTTTGTACACTAATTAAATCAGAAATCACACAATTAAGCATCAAGAACAAAGACATGTAAAAAATTGGAATGGTAGAAAGTATCGAGTTGAGTAAAGTGATGTGGCCTCCAAAGGACAAAGCGATGTTCCCTCCAAAGGACAAAGCGATGTTCCCTCCAAAGGACAAAGCGATGTTCTTCCAAGTGGCAAGCTTAACATGAAATCGGTGCACAATTGGTTTCCACAGCTTCTTATTCCTCAGGTTCCCTTAACAGGCATTCCCAAATAAGGCATGGTTCCAATTCCACAACCCAAAACACTAGCTGCCCCATTCAACCATCTCTCCAAGACGCAAAAACCATAAACACTACTCTTACTAAAGTTAACCTCAATCCCAAAATCAGTTCAAACCACTACAATATA